GTTTTGGGCCCTTGCCTTTTGAGCTTGGCTATTTATGAGAACTCTTCTTCCTTTGTTCACCCCCGGGCTCCTTCCCTCAAGAATATTTTGGAGGGCGGTTTCCTGAAGATTGTTTCCTTTTTCCTGACTCCTCCGAGGAAACAAAGTCAGTGAGCCTTTCTACGACCGCAATTGCCCCGATTACATCGGTGACATTCCTTCGATATAGTTCCTGTTAAGCTTATAGCTTCAGGCCATCAAGGAAGCTGAACAACTTATCCTTCTTGGACATGTCTTGTATGTCCAGCATCAGTGCAGAAAATTATTTCACGTGTTCTTGGATGGAAGTACTTTGGCGGAGTTGTCTCAACTTTCTCCTTGCAACGAACTCTATGTTCTCGGGTAGAAACTGAGTTCTCAACTCCTGCTTCAAGTCTTCCCATGTGTCAACTCGACACCGACCTTGTTGGATCTCCTCCCAACGGGTTCACCACCAAAGTTTTGCATCCTTATTCGGATACATGATTGCTATTGAAACTTTGGTATCTTTAAAATCGTGCTTTGTAGCTCGAAAGTACTATTCCATGTCAAACAAGAAATTCTCGAGCTCCTTTGCATTCCTAGCACCTTCATAGCAATGAGGCTCAGGTACCCTCAAGTTTTGTGACGGCGTAACACAGGTGTTGCTCCCTCCCGCATTTAGTGCCCTTGTGAGCGCTGTCACTCTGGAAGTGAGTTTTGCCATGACTTCATGCAAATGTTGCATGGAGTCTTTCGTATCGTCCATCAATCAATCGACTAGGGCCTCAACCTTATCGATTCGGGATTTAGCTTCTTCTTGCGAGCTCTCTATCCCAAGAAGCCTTTGTTGGCCTTGGTAGAGTTCCTCCAAGCTCACTTCAAGAACATCTAGGCGGATTTCTGTCGCTGTGAGTCTCTCCTTATGGCTCTTTTTCTTGGTTGATGCTCCAGATTGCTCCTCCTTCATTCGTAGAGAGTAGCCAACTTCTCGCTCATCATGTTCGTTGCCACGATCCCCTAGTGTGGCTCCACCAACATGAGAGCGAGTTTGCACTTACAGCCCACCTGCGACTGCTTGAGACAATGGTCCGGCTTGCCCTGCCTTGCTTGATTCACCATGATGCTTTGCCATGGCGAGATTGTGAAGTTTTTTCACTGCTTGCTCGAATTGTTTGCCCGCTCTGATGCCACAATGTCACAGACTTAGCTGGAATTACCTAAGTCATAAGACACCCTTGCGGCAAAGTCACGAAGAGAGAAGCTTTACAAGTAATTTAGCGAACATCTTGAGTGCAAAGGAGAAAAGAGAGGAAGGAGAAAACAATGACTTTAGAAGGTAGAACGAACAGTTGCACGTCCACAAACAACTGCTCACCGGGTGTCGGGCGCGAAAGCAAGTTCCCGTCAAGTTAATGTAAGAACTTGTGAAGATTGTTCAACGCTTGACAATATACCGAAGCCTCATCCAGCCTTATGCCACCTAGGGGGTTCCAGGGTGCTGAGATGACTGACGTTTTGTGTGCAGCTACGGTTTATAGAAAATAAGATGTGGCATGCGAAAACGGAGCCATTTTGGGGCAGTTCGACCCAACGCGACGAGCGGTCGCACTGCAACGTTGCGAACTGTCGTTGTTTACATTTTTCAAACAAAAAAGAAAACACACACACACACAAAACCAAGGCAAAACATGCTGTCATGTCTCTATATAAGCATGCAAAAGCGACGAACGGTTCGTTGAACGAAGTTGTTGTGGGTGCGTGATGACCGTTCGTGACAGGTCGGTACTTATTCTTCGGGCGACACGGGTGGAACTGTACTATTCCCTGCTGTGCGGTATCATCTTGTATGACCTCGGGCCGCACGGGCACGGTTGTATGTAGCTATGGGAATGTTGTGTCCCTTCAAGTTCATACCCACGCGTGCGCCTCCTTGGTAAGGAGGTACGATTATCCAAGGGCCATGTCGGCTTTGAGATGCCACATCGACTCTGAGGTGGCTATTGAACATTGTTGCATAGACAGAATATTCCCTGACACTGGTGATTTAACTGATATGCTTATTACTACTACCAAAACACAACAGCTTCAAGTGTTCTTCCTTTTTGTTTCTTTTAATGGATCAGAGAAAATTACTAATTCTATGACAAGATGAACTGTAAGTTAATAAACCCTGATTGAGAGCTAATTTACAACAGAGTCTTCTGATTATATGAGAGATCCTATTTGCTGGAGTCTCATCATGCTTGGCATATCTTGCAACAATATATTTGTGCATGCATCTCATTATCCTTCTGAAGCCAGCTGATAACTACAGAACAATCTCCCTCCAACCAAATGAACTGCTGCCCTTAGCCTTCCCAGCCACCAAATTGACAGATTTATCTTAAGACAATTATGACCTTTCACAAAACAATCTCTATGCTCTTATGCTGCAACCTGGACTCTGATCCATGGCACCATCATACTTAGTTTTACAGTACAGAAAAGGAGTCTCTTTAAAGAAGATCTCTCTATCAAACCTCTGCAAAATCAACAACAGTTTATCTGTTAGCAGAGGTGTTTTCTTTTTCAGCACAGTATATTGCCATATTAACAACTTGAGATATTATCATACTATATTGTTAAAGAAACAAGAATGTTCAAGCTGGACCAGATCAAACTTCGACAGAGATGATAAAGAAATTAAAGATGCTTCTTTTAGCATCTTGTTGAGATTTCACTTGTCATATTCAAGGTCTTTTGGAGTCATCTTCCAATTGAACTGACAATATAGAATCCTTATGCTGAAGGAAGCCCTTAACCATTATTTTCTCTTCATTGTCATCGGCATAAGAAGTTAGTAGATGTAAGAGTCTGTTTCTGTATCATAATTTTCTGAAGTGGAAAGCTTTGAAATGTTATCTGCAAGTCACAACTGTTGTCCTCATCGACTGGTTCAGGTGTTCATCTACCACAAAGCTTTTCCCATGCCGGTGTTGTCCTACAAATTCAGCACCACAGACCCCATATCAGGTCAGGAGAACGACGACGCTTCCCAGTTCGTCTCTTGTGTTTGCTGGCGAGGCCAGTCATCCACCTTGCTGGCTGCAAACTCAAGTGGTAACATCAAGTTCTTGGAGATGGTGTAGCTGCCAATTCGGAAGCTAGAGGTGATGAGTTATGGGGTCACAACATGGAGGTTCTTAATCTGAACTCTACGCATCAGCACACAGTTGCGGTTGTGACGAATTTGCCAGAGTTCGGTGGCTCTGTTATTGATCGATCATAGGAGAAGATGTTAGCATCTGTATCATAGCAAACGATTTGGAAAGAAGACTGAGAGGGAATTGTTTTGTGTACATCATTCATATATAATCAATCAAATCAATTGAGCTCTTTTTAATTTTTGCCATCCTGATTTCAGCTTGATCTAATGTGATCTCATTTCAAATCAACTTCACTTCCCTTGTGATTTCATTTTGAAGTCTAAAATGACACTACAAGAAGAATAGAACAGCATAAGATTATGGAAACCACAGGTAAAGAAACAGGATCAGCGAAGAAGCACAAGAGAAACAGAAATAGCCAATTAGTGGAGAAAACCCTTTCTCAAGTTGAAAAGAATACGATTATAAATTCTATTGTTTGGCTTTACCTCTCCATATAACTTGCAAGTGTCTCATTGATCATATTATTAACAATTTTAGTAAGTTATATATACACATCTTTTGAGGAGATGAGGCTTATTCCTTGGGATTACGTCAGTATCTTAAGGAATATGGTCTTAATTTAGTAGATCCGCATCCGCATTGACAAGAGAGAATCGGAGGTCTCTTGTACCCGTTTCAACGCTTCCCGCATAAGTTTCTGTGCGTTGAAGGGGAAAGATAAGGAGAGCTCCTCGTATCGCCCCCAGAGAAGACGCATCGAGATAGCAAGGATGTGTTCTCTGGAGAAGCGTGGCCGCGTCTATGTCCTCAGCCTCACCGGCGACAACGAGCACCGCCTCAACGCCGATCTCATCGCGGCGGTGCGATCCGCCCTAGCCAAGGTCCGCGCCGAATACGCCGCCGCACCTAACGGCTCCGCCCTCGTCACGGCCGCCGAGGGCCGGTTCTTCTCCAATGGCTTCGACCTCGCTTGGGCCAACGCCGCCGGATCCCCCTCCGCCTCCCTCCAGCGCCTTTCGTCCCTCGTCGCCCTCTTCAAGCCCGTGGTCGCGGACCTCATGTCCCTCCCGATGCCCACCATCTCCGCCGTCAACGGCCACGCCGCCGCCGCCGGGTTCATGCTCGCCATCAGCCACGACTACACGGTGATGAGGGGGGATCGGGGGTTCTTGTACATGAGCGAGCTCGACATCGGCTTGCCCTTCCCGCCGTACTTCATGTCGCTGATGCGGGCGAAGATCGCCGATCCGAGGACGCTGAGGGACGTGACGCTCCGGGCGGCGAAGATCACGGGAGCGGAAGCGAAGGCGACGGGAATCGTGGACTCGGTCCACGCCGGCGCCGACGAGGCGTTGCAGGCAGCGATGAGGATGGGAGAGGAGCTGGCGGCGCGGAACTGGGACGGTGGGGTGTACGCGTCGATCCGGATGGCGGCGTTCCCGGATGTCTGCAGGGCGGTGGGATTGCCGGCGGAGGACGCGGAGCAGAAGGACAAGACCATCGCCGCCAAGCTCTGAAGTTGGATCTCCACTACAAGGTACTTGTCACGTTTATACTGGTGATATTTACTGTATCGTATTATGAGCAAAGCATTTGATTACCGTAAGCTAAAAACCAAAACAGCAAATTAGACCGGAATGCGTTTGCTTTTAATAAGCTACTTGAAATAAACGATTAAATTATCATCTATTTCTTGCCATGCATAATTGAATATCTAAGTTGAATACATAAATTCAGATATAATGATTAAATGGATCAGTAAATTGTGTAGTAATGTTTCTTTGATTTAAAGACATAGGATAGGATATAAAGATGGACGCATACGTTTTGCTATTAATATGCTTGATTAGATTATATTCTATCTCTTGCTTGCTAGCTGATAGCTGACACCACTAGCCAAATAAACTTTGGACTTTCAATGATGGGACATTTTGACTTGACATTCGAATGAGAATCATATGGTGCATATTGTTCCCTTCTTCTTATGAACTCTCCATTGATGATAGGGAGAAGACCATCTTGGAATTTCAGTATACTTAGTATGTGGAAAAACTAATCGGGTTGGCTGTAGTTCTCCATCTACACGATCCAATGTAATCCTATTTTCTTATTTATGCTTCCTCTCATAATAACATAGTTGATTTTTAGACATTATTAATGGCAAGTTACATCATTCACAATCTTGATTCCAGTCTAATCATTATTATATTAGTCTTGATTCCAATCTAATCATTATAGGTTAGTGCCTCCCGTATCAGATAAAAAGATGCCCTAGTGCACAAGGCCAGTCGAGTTTTCTTAGGTTGTGTTGTAGTCCACAATGATGAGTTTGAGATGGATTAATTAGAGCTAATATATGTCAGGTATGACACTAATTTAACTCAAAAGCTTAAGTCATTATGTTGTGGGTCAATCCCAATATACATAACCCGACCTTTCGATCCTTAATAATATGAGATTATCCTCTTAGTCCATCTTTCATTTTATATACATAAATATTTTTAATATCTTCTTCTATTCATGTGTGTTAATTATCTTTGTCTTATTTTATTTTAAAATTCAAACTTAGTTAGAGTCCACATCTTTTATGTCATTACGAGGCGGTTCACTCATCTGCATCTACTCATTGTGTTGCGATTCATCTTCATTTAGTCAAATCATTATTTAATTAGCTCAATCTTTTTTTTTTCCTTTTAAATCGTGCATGTCAAATTTTATCTATCTGACATCAATTTAACTCAAAGCTTAAGTTGTTTGGTTGTGGTTCAAACAAATCATTTACCCTATTCTTCTGTTGCTTGATGGACATGCTTCACGCTAAAGCGAACCAATATATGGTTCATCACTCGATTTTTGTCTCATGGGACAACCTTGTGTCTTTTAGGTCAGTTTAATTGATCGACAGGTTGCCCTGCGAGCAAATTTGGCCACATATGGGGTGTGTTATATGTTCAATTAAAAGCAAAACGGCCCTTCAATTTGAATCAAGATATGTTTCATCACTCCATTTATGTCTGATGGAAACAATCCTGTGTCTTTTAGATCAATTTAATTGATAGACGGGTTGACGTTAGAGCAAATTTTGCCTCATGGGGTGTGTAATATGTTCAACTAGAAGCCAAAGGGCCCTTCCGTATGAGTCCCATATCATCCAACATAAACTTGTGTTATTGCATGCACAACTAGAGATGAGAGCGAGACAGCTACCCGTGCTCGGCACCTGAAGCGGAGCATATATCCAACCCATCTAAATGTTTGGTTATAAAAGGCAAAAAAAATCTAACACATTATTATTCTGTGACGATGGAAACATCTAACAAGATACAGTGATGTTGATAATAGTATGTCATTCTTTATATGGGACTGAATCAGGACGTAACAAGATACAGTGATGTTGATAACTTGTTGACGTCCCTGCAAAAATATTTTTCTATTATGATATTAGTTTTCAGAAATCTATCGTTTTAAAAGTTTCGAAATAATTTATTTACCTTTGTAAATTTTAAAATAGTATATATATATATATATATATATATATATATATATATATATATGGGTAAATTTCAAAAAAAATCTCAACATTTTACTTTTTCTCACCTAGTGTCCTTTTTTTTTGTTTATTCTCGCATAATGTCCCTTTTTTTCTAAAAAACAATATTACCTGCCACCTTTGCCATGTTGCATTGTGGGTCACCTCCAGGCCGTCGTTGCCTTACCCCACTCCAAGGCTTTATTGTCGCCATATGCCCCCTTGGCCTCTTTGTCTGGTCACCATCTCCGTTCACGAGGCCTCTTCGAGCAAGGCCCCTCTCTACCCCCATGAAGCCTCCGTCCTCCGTGTTGACGACTCCCCTTGTCACCTCTTTGTCGATCTTAATTAGATCTGTTAACATGATGTCGAACCACTACAGCATCGAGTTGAAGCATCGTTGGTCAAGTTGGTCACAACATTGACCAGGGACCCAAGGGCATCGATCATCTCGACGAGGAGGAAGTATATATATATATATATATATATAAGGATAATTACAAAAATCATTCGTTAAGCAAACCTTGACATTTAACATATTTAAATCAATGAATTTATAATATCATATGGTAATGGAGAGAATTGCACCATCTAATTCGAGAGGATCCTAGCTCGGGCTAATTACAAATTATCTCATGTAGTTAGCTACTTTTAACGTTTCAGTCTCTACACTTAAAAAAGTTATATTGGTATTCCTATAATTATGAAAGTAAAATATTTTGATCTATTTATCCTAATGACGTCAGTTTTACCAATAAAAATATTAAAAATAAAGAAAAAATATATAATTTTAATGTTCAATGGTGGATGGCGTTAGTGGTAGCGGATGATAACACCATTGGTGTCGACACCAATGCAGCTACCTAGTTGCCTCTGATAATGATATGGTCCACCCTCACTGTGATATCATCCACCTCCACGAGGAGCATGCTGTCAACCTCATCGCCACTCGCTCTATGTTGTTTTGCATTTGCATCGACATTGACACAATTATCGAGCGACAACTGTATCAATATCGACATATATGGTGGTAGCTACCTCATCACTGACTCGTTAGGCGGATCCCAACCAAGACCTAAAGCTAGGGTCGTCGGAGCTCCTACCGCTCCCCGCGCTGCCACGTCAATTCCGATACCACCTCTCGTCGAGCGACCCTTTTGTTGTTCTGCATTTGCATCGGTATTAACGCAGTTGCCTAGCGGTGCTACTCTATATCTATGCCGACCTCGACGCAGATGCAAAGTAACGAAGAGCCACTTAGTAAGAGGTGGCGCTGGAATTGACATAGTAGCGGGGGAGTAGTAGGAGCTCCGACGACCCCAAATTTGAGTCGAGGTTGAGATTCGCCTAATGGGTCAATGATGAGGCAACCACTATATTTATCATAGACGTTGTGATGACCACCATAATCTACGTTGACACTGATGTAGAGCGACGCGGGATTGACAGTGATGAGGTCAATGACATGCATATGGTGGAGGCGAGTGGCGTCGTGGTGAGAATGGACCTTATCGTTCGAAGGCGGCCAAGCAACTGCATCAATTTTGATACCAACGACATCGTCGTCCACCACCAAATATTAAAATTATATTTTTTATCTTTTATTTTTGTTAGTAAAATTGATATTGTTAGAGTAAATAGACATAAATGTTTAAATATATGGATGTAAATGTAACTTTTTATAGTATAAGAACCGAGACACTAAATATAACTAATTACATAAAATCATCTCTAATTTGGCCCCACCAGGACGCGCCCTTACAACACCCCGAGGACATACGCGTTAACGATTTCCTTCTCTCCCTCTCTTTGCTTCGATTTGAGTTCATGGGTTGGATTGGGTCAAGTCGGGCTACGGGTGACATCGAGGAGGGCAGGTGTTAGACGAGGAGCAATCGTCAACTCTGATAAGGAGCCTGAGAGAGATCGCGAGCTGCTCATCCCCGTGGCCAGCGATAGGCCTCCTCCTCCTCCGACCACCACCACCACCACCACTCCGATAGAGAGGCACTCTTACCCCTGATCTCTTTGTTCATTTCCCTTTTCCGTCTCGATTTCGTGTCACGGGTTCTCGTTTTCTTTCTCTTCCCGTTTCTTTGGGATAATCGGGAAGTCACGTCGCTTCTATGATATCAACGCTAATGGATTCAAACCTGAGCAATATTTCTTGGTTGTTGGGGTTCGTTCAAGAAACACGTATTTGATTCAGTTATGCTGTTTACGAAGTTAATTACGAGCATTAAAAGGAACACGAGCAAATCACCATCTTTGCCATTTTTCTACAAAGAACATGCCGATTATACAGTGTAGAGCGCACCTTTTCAAGTAGATTGTACCTATATAGCATCACCTGCAAATTAATCAAATGGAATGTCTAAATTAAGATGTATTCTAACTTTGTGGTGCTTAAATACCTTTGTATTCCTCTCTCTCTCTCTCTCTCTCTCTCTGACTGACAAATTGTTTTCTTAGATGAAACCCAAGGATCAATGCTGAATTGGAATACTTCGGATTAATTAAACGTATATGTATAAAATCAAAGCATTAAATAAAAAAACCAATATCTTAACTACCGAAATCAACAGCATGAATGCAGCTTATTGGGACGCATGTCTTAATCTACTCACGGTAAATATATCAAGAAAAACGAACAAAACCATTGGCTCATTGTTTATGGAGTTGCTTCATTGTTTAAGCAGCATTCAGGGGCAAGACTTGCGACAGGCTTAAAGTTTATCTATAGCACACCAAATTTTGATAAAGCCGATTGAAACAAACCAAAGAATGCTTCCGATGCAGTTGCATCATCAGCCTTGATCTTTACCTGTGCTTTTGCTGATGATGTGTTGACAATGCACTCCACGAGGAAGAACAATGGTGGGCCATCCAACTTTTGAGCAAAGAAGAAGAACTTGAAGTTGGGAGATTGACCACCGGAGGCAATGCATTGGATGGAGCTGGCTTGCATATGCCGGATAAGGGCTTGAGGTGTCGTTAGCGCTGCAATTCCTTGAGGGCTAACTGAACAATCCTGCAAAGCAGACAGCAACCATGCTTTCATGATTACCACAGAAATAACAGTTTATGTTTTCTTGTACTGGAGCTTCAACATTGATGGTTCTTTGTTTAATTTCCAATGCTTGGCAATGGAAGTTATTTTTCCATGCATTTCCAAGCAAACTTGCATGACCAACTGATTTTGAATTATGACAATAAGAGTTCTGAAGTAGATAGATGCATTTCAGTATTGCAAGAGGCAAACAAATCACAAACATCTCCAGAGCAAATTTTGAGCCATTTCAGGTGTGAAGCACGAGAATCTACAGAACATAATGGATCGATGGAACTCAATGGAGATTGCATATCTAGCAAAGTCTATGCTACTGATCGATTCCCAGGTTTAGGTCGTAATCAAGTTAAAATTCCAGAATTTCTTTTGTCACCTAATGTCCTGTGGATCTTTTCCTCTAATGCATCCATTTATGTCAGAGAATCAATTATAAAAACGACAGCACAATGATTCACAATCAGGTCACAACTTGGAAGTGTAATAAAATGATTTTGCAGTCCAAGTGAAAGGAAAACAAAAAAACTTAAATGGAGTATGCAAGTGCGGCACTGCAGGCAACTTTCACAAACCCAGTATTTTTTTCACAAAGAACAACATAAACAAGCGTTCTTCTAGTAAGCAAAACATACGTAGCAAAGTAAGGATCCAATGCCCACATGCAGAAGTGCATGAAGCTTATTCAATGAGAAAACTAACAAATATCCAGCAAATACTCAATTTTAATTTTCTGTTTTTACAATAATATATAGAATGCTATAACAAAAAATTACAGACTGTTGAAATCGGGAGCAGTTAGTATTTTTCTCAAAAGAAATAGACCACTCAGGCTAGGAGCAAAGGATATGTGCTTTAGGAAAAACAAGCTGTTGTATTGTTAGACACGAATCAAGTAGGAACTTAGATCCATAGCACTCTACCGGGTTCGAGTAATATGCATTACTCTACAAGGTTACAGTAGTTAATACTCTACCGGGTTACAGGAATATACATTTTATGCAACCCTCAACTCTACTGTGTCAAAATAATAACTTTTCAATGTATTTGCTAATCAAGAAAATTCTTCTTTTTCAATTTTTTTCTGTAGAACATACCTACAGTGAATATACTTGAAGCAACAAACCTTGCTAGAGGTTTGTAAATTCACATCACCAGAAGCTTCAACTAACCTTCTATCAATATCAATAAATAATCAAATCATGCAAGCTATATGGCTAGGATGAGAAGTAGCCAGTATGACTGTGTACTAGTTATACTATTTATACAAAATATTAATCAATCTTCACTAGAGAACTCTACTGGAAAAAATTGAGAATAATATATTGCAAAGGGCTTAACTTAAAATCAAATTTAAAATTATATAGGAATATACCTGTGAGATGGATACTGCAAGTTGGCCCCACTTCCTCTGGAAAGTACCAGGATCCAAGGCTGCTTTTGGATTAAGCTTCAAGGATGGAGGAGCAGGGGCAGCAGACACACTCAACCCAAGAAGATCATCAATGGCAAGGGTCATCTGAGATGTATATTTTGGCATGCCAGGGTCTGAAATTGCTGTCTCAGATTGTGTCTGTGAACTAAGAGAAACTAAGGAACTGTTATAGTCAGTTGGAGCACTATATCCAGAAGCAGCAGGACCATTGGTACTTGGACCCCCATTTTCTTCTCTTTCTGATGTACTTAGCAAAAGATCTTTGTCACTCTCATCATATCTTGGAGAATTACCAACAGGCTCTTGCCCCAGAGACAAATTCCCAATTTCTTCTGAGAACTCAAACGGTTCTCGGTGTTCCTTATCGGTAAACATGTAAGACGGCTGCAATTTTACTTTGATAATCAGATATGAGTTTGAATACATGCTAGTAATGGGAAACCAGTCCAGAAAACACAGAAGAAAATGCTCAAATATGTAACACATCAAGCATTTTTTTTAAATCCAAGTGTTCATGAGAAGCCAATACATGAAACATGGAAGCCAGATTGATAAAAGGCTTTATCATTAGATACTTGAGACGGAAATTACCGATGTGTGCACTAGTGATCCAAATTAGTTATGCATACTGCAAATTTATATGGCATTTAGGATAGAATCAACCATTGCACATAGATCAAAAGCATTGCTATGTATCAACCCCCTGATAGGATTAACCTTTATCAAAATGTTTTTTAATCAAATATAAGAGACTATTTAGATGTCCATATTTGATTCATAAGCATCAAGCTCTAGAAAAGCTTAAAAAGGTGGCAAATTATCTTGTCGATTAAGAACTAATAACATTATTAAAGAAGGCTTCCATGAGCTTCCTCTATCAGCTACCTTTTCTCTTTGAAGTGTGGAACTATGTTTGCTCCTTCCATCTCAGCAAATGCCATAATGATTCTTCTCTTTTGTTGTTTGCCAACCACCTGCAACACTTGTATTCAACATCTATTCCTTTCAATTTTTCATTTAACATTCACCTATCATCATCTTACTCATAGTGTTCCATATAACCATCATGTTTTATTTTGAATTCACCTATTATAGTAACATTTGAGATCCTGTTTGAGTCCAACAACACTATTTTGCCCAGAGATTTTTGGACCTTGTACCTGGTATTTTAGCAGTTATTATCATTTTATAGGGAATTTAAATGTGTTCATCCACATGAAATTTTATTAAATCATGCTATGCCTTCAATGCCTTGATAATCATAAATAATAGTTCTTTTATTTGATAAAATTGATTATAAGATTTCTCCTTGGTTCAATCTGACGCATGAAAACTAAAATGCATCTATCAAATTTAGTGTTCTATGTACCCAATAAAGAACCGAAATAAAAAGGAAACTGATATTAGCACCGGAAACTGGAGATGCAACACCTTTTAAGTCATGGAACAGTCATTAAAAGAATTGGAAAACACCAGATTAAAATAAAATTCAATTGACTGGATTCATTATTTGGATCTGTTCGAACTGAAATAGAAATGTTTCTTTCAGATTGTATTTGGCTGGCCACAATACTGGAGACGTTCAAATAGCAAATTAAAGAATCATCAAAATGACTAACAGTGACTTGATGCTCGTTAGTTTGAAATTATCAGAATGAAATCCACTTTGCTTTACGTTCATATGAAGAGAACCAAACAAAAAGATAAAACAACCAATTCATGAGGAAACTTTATGTACCTTCTGATAGACAACAGACAAAGAGTTGAATTCATCAAATATACGATCCTTGATTTCACTGCTCTGTGTATCAGCAAAGACTGAAACAGCTTGCTTGGGAGGGTTCACCACACGTTCTGCAACTGACACATCATATTGTAAAAGCCTGTAGTAGAATAAGGCCCGATCATGAACATCCTGCAATCAATTGGTCATTCATGAAGATTGAGGCAAGCTCTTCTCTAACTTATGTAACTTGGAGAAGCTCCAGCTGGATAAAATTTTCAGGCATTGAAACATCATACAAATGAAGCCACACCTGATGGGAATCAGCCAGACCAGCAGCTAAAGCAGCTCCCAAGGCCTTTTGTGTTTCTGGTGGCCTCTTGAAGAAACATTTCATTGCAGCAGTGAGAAGATGCAACCTAACCTGTCAAAAAACAAAAAGTCAATTATACATAATATGACCTTGCACTTAACTGTATATGGGATCAATGCAAAATCAAAGACAAAAAAGGAAAATTTTCCATTCATAGAAAAAGAATGAAATTTGTCTGTTTCTAAGTCGACCAACTAGCTACGAAAATATCAAACATGCAATTCACGCAGTTCACTTGAAATACAATTTTTAGTCATGAATTAAAATTTGTGCAGGTACCCAAAAGTTAATATCCCATATGTAGAATGACCACAAAATGTCCTAATATTGAATAAACATTTATTTTTTTATAATTATGCAGTAATTATTCTTACTACTAAGAGTGTCCTTCACAAATTTATTCAACAGATTATCCTAAAATGATACATGAACTATCAATACTAAATATTCAAATGTACTAATTGGGAATGATTTATCACTGGCCCCAAGTATCAGGAACACAATTTCAGTAGCTCCTGAAACCAACAGGGAAGCTACAACAAAAAGTCAGATAAGTTCTTATGCAGTAAGAAGCAGATACATGGCTTACTGCTTTGCTCTATCACAATTGCTTGCTTAACTGAAATATAAGGTTTGACTGCAAAATGGTATACTATCATGCATCTCTTGATTGAAGTTAGATTTAGAAGCATAAACAGGACATATAAATATAAAAGAGATCCATTATCTATATATCTAGTTTGCGACAACAGTTGCTTCTGTTTCATATTTATTCTAACAAGTGCAGATTTATGAAGATCAAAGCAACCATTTGGAAGGATTTATGAGGTTGCAGACATGTGAACAGATTTGAAGCATGAAGGATAATAACTATAACCAGCTGAAATAAGAGTCCAATAAAAAAGGCACCATAAGGAGACCAACTACCACCTTAAGAATCACAATCACCAGCCATGTATATATATTAAAAGAAAATCAACCTTACAAAAAACACACCACTGTCTAAATGGCAGGTTGATACAGTCGAAGCTTTCTCATTTAATTGTACCAGTTGTGTATTATTAATTGGCAAAGCTGATTAATTTCTTGAGAAAAGACAAACTTAAAAAGGGAAAAAATAACATAAGTTTATTAACTCCAATCTCAAATGAGATGTGAAGGAAATTGTACTTGTATTAAGCCTGAAATTTGCAGAAATAATCTATCATGAAAACTCTTCTTTAATAATTTTTCCAAAGATGCAAACTCAAATACAAGACCAACTTTAAGTCAACAAAGAATGCAGTCTACATCTTACCAAACATGATTTCTAAATCTACATTTAGTAAGTTCAAGTTTTTGTGGACTTTCTTGAATATAATTTGTAACAACGAATAACAAAAACTACAAATTCATAACTAAAACATAAATGAATAGGTTCGAATCCATTGCATCCAAGGTGTCGAAGATTCAAAACATGGAAACCAGCCTATATATTTGCAAAAATAAGGTTCAAACCAACTTTATGCATCCTTAAAACTTTTTATATATGTCTCTTTGTTATATGGTTCATAATAGGCCTCAAAAACATACATAGATTCATCGTTTAGGCAATAAAAATAAATTTTAATAGCATTTTAAGGATTAAAAACTAGTACTACTGGTATCAACGGTGGCAGCCATGCCAACACATGGTATGATTATCATCCTGGTCCGACCGATGCCGGGTATTGGTACGGACTGAGATTTTAAACCTTGTTTAAACCATTTCCTACCCATGGCCACCTCAACTTTCTCATCACTATTTGTAAACTAACTTTTAATCAGTAAACAATCCTTATTCTATAATTGTGAACGATAGCAACCACAAACAAGAACATATGCCATGAAATTGTGACAATGGTTTACTTATCTATGACCAACCATAATACGTGGGCTCCTTCGGACTAAAAATTATGGGAAAACCTCCTGAAAGCTTATTATTCCTTTCCAATAATAGTAATGGATCAACTCTCAAATGTCAAGCAAAGATTCAAGTTAAAAGTATATCTTTCTTCTGGAACTAAGGAGCTAAATCAACCATTCATAAAGAATATTGATAGCTATTGTCACAAGATTGAAATAACAAAGAGTAATTTGTATGCTAAATTTACTTCATGTCAGTGTCAATAGGGATACCATAAGTACAAAAGTTTCAAACAAAACTTACAAGCAATAAAATATACAGAAGCAATACATTATTTGGCATTTTAAATTCAAGAGGAGATATTAATCCACACTGATAACAGAAATAGACTTGGCTGTAAAATTCTAATACCTCAGCAGCATTCTCCTCATCCCAATTTTCAATAAGACTCTCCAGGATGTAAGGGGCATCTGGCATGTCTTGGGAGTACTCTCCCAACATCCATATCAGTGCTGCTTTTGCTTTTGGTTCTTGAACGTTTTTGCTACTAATATTACCAACAACAGCAATACAGTCATGACTCCACTGTGGATATTTCCTCAGAAGATCTTTCACAAGAACCTGGTCGATGATTTGATAGCATGGATAAGAATCATAAGCCTTTCAAAATTATCTGCAAAATCAGCAAATTTGCAGACATACAGAAATTTTATGCCTATTGACATACTAACCAGAGTTTCAGCAGTCACATAGTCCTTCTCCATCTCCAGAAACTGTAGAAGCCTGTCGACGATAGCATTGACATCATACTGCTGCAATGCTATCTTTCCAACTGCTCGAATAGACTCCCTCGCAATGGGTACATCAACATTTCCAGCATATTCACACAACTCGGTCACTGATGAAATAAGCCATTAATTTAAAAAATGTTTTATTAAAAGTATGTAGCAGTCAAAAACACAATGAGGATGAGAGATGAGAATTGAACTTAGAGAATAATGATCATACCAATTTCATATGTATTGCTCTCATTGGCAATGGCAGTCAACATCTCAAGTTTGAGTTTCTTAACATATGATGGATCACTAAACTGACAATAAAAATGTTTGTAGTCAGAAGAGAACAGCATGGGAGCACGCATAACCAATAGATGCAGGTGACTCAAAACTGCATATGATTGTTCAGAACTTCCTGATCCCACTAAAGTGAGTAAAGGTGCCTTGATGCGCTCATAGACCTAAGAAAACAAAATTCAAACAACTGAACATGATTAGCAAAAAAAGAACTATGGTAATCATTCAGAAAGGTCGATTTAAAATTCTGGACTTGGCAAAAAGCCAAATACAAAACAAAATGAGATTGTTGATAGGCACCTGCTGATGGACATCAGTCATTGACATTGTCAAATGCAGAAACACCTTGATTGTAGCTAAGACAACAGCTCCATTTGCATGCTGAAGTCTGTCCTCAAGAAGATTCATTATATCAAATATATCATCAGTATCAGAGGGTATATACTTTGCCACTAGCTCAAGAACAAGGCACTGTGCCCATTCATTGAATTCTTTGATCCTGTAAAATTAACATACCATGATTAGATAGTATCCCCCAGAATGAGCAGAAGATAAATTATCAACAAAATGTTAATTCGTAGAGATAGTTATTCTTCCTAACAGAAACTTGTAATAGACGTTTAGAACATCTTAGTACATAAACATGGAATAGATGTTTATGACATCATTGGGCTTATTTGCTATCAGAGAAAGATAACTATAAACAATTGATTTACATTTGAAAAAGACTAAAAACCAGCAATTTGGTGCCGCAGATATAACAATAAGGAACTCAAGAGTTCAGTTGAAGAATGATATACAACTCATAATGAATTGCCAAAAGTGCAAGTAACAAAAGGATGGGACAGGATAAGACTATTTCAAGAACATCTAAAACCACCATCAAGAGAAATATTATATACGACAGCATAAACCTATAATCTCCACAGTAACAATTCTGGAGTATGTGTGTTCATCTAATTCCATCCGGTTACTAAACTACCAAATTGGACATGTTCAACTAATACAACTTGCTATCATGAAATACAACTACAAAACACACTAATAATGCAATGCATCCTCATCATTTCAAATATTTAAAGAAATAAGAAAAGAAGAGGAAGAGGTTGCCACTACTCACTTGTCCAGTAATCCAATAATCCCCTAATAACAAGAAGGGGAATAGTAAGTGAATAAATCTGATATGTTACATAGAAATGCCAGAACAGTATAAGACAGAAAAGAGAGATCATCTTTCCTATCAACTTCCTAATCCCTTGCAGTAATAACATCATCCATAAGATATAAAGATGCTTCCGGCCCTCCAGACACATTTTGTTAACGAGGCCTCAGTTTGAAACCCCAAGTACTGTGATCTCAATGTACCAACACCTTTTCACATAATGAACTTATCAAGTAATGCCAATATACAACATTAACAAAATGCAACTTTATAATGATCCATAAGTATATTTACCTAATGATACACAATTATTAGGAAAAGTGGTGCAATTTTTATAGTTTTTAAGATCTTGTTGATGAAAAAGAATAGGATTTTACCAAAAAAGTGTTTGTTGTATCTTCCAACCAATCAAGTTTAACTGCCTAAAACTTATCTTCAGCACTTACTGTTTGAGAAGTCATAGCATTATCATTCATGTAGCCCAATGAATCACTGTGTTCCAATTATGCTACCAGATGCAATCTTCCATATCAAACATCCTGATAGAGTTGATAGGCATCTCAGTCTTTTCATTTGGAACTGGATCGCTAACCACATCAAAGAAAATGACCCTCGAGAGTGTTCTAAACAAACACTTTGCAGTCCTTCCACCTCCCTAAGTCATTAGAGTTCAGATATTTGCCAGCTTTTCATCAATCACTATCATTTCAGCACAGTAATGAGCAAACAATTGAAGTAATTGAAACATTAGGCTTCTACTTTCCTACCCATTTAGAGAAGAATGTCCATCGAGTGAGGAGGTAAAAGGTCAAAGTGATGTCATCAAGGAGTTCTATTACCTAAAAAGGTGAGGCAGTTCTTAGCTTCCAATCATATGTTCGGTGTTACTATTAGACAAGAATATATTTGTTTTATCACTTCCTAAGCATACATTATGCAAACAAACCTCCAAAATAAACATAACATTGTCCAATAGTTTGGACTGCAGAACAGTGGAAAATGTAATAGAAGGATTTGCAAGATTGACTCTACAAGAACTCGCAAACTGGATCTTTTATTGTGTAATTTTTCCCAGCTGCTGGTGTTCCCAACAACTGTTAATCAAACATAAGATGATCAAGCTAGAAGGCAAAATAATTGAACAAACAGAGCCATTCAGAAAAAAAGAAAAGAGAGAAGTCTGAATATCCAGTCAGATCCAAGCCATTCTGAATGATGCAAATTCCCATATGGCTACTCGGAAAGCAGTGAAAGAAAAGTTGGTCACTAAAAGATATCAAGTAACTCATAATTAGCCAACTAGGAGCATACCGATTCAGAATATAGTACACAATCTTCTTGCTGAGAAGGGTTTCTCTTTCTCTGGAGGCTTCCTCTGACTTATTGGCCTCCAAGTTCCATATCTCCTGCAATACAAACAGGCAATTCGCAACCACCTGCCAAGAGAAACAAACAGGTAAATCACACTGGAATGTAGATCGTAAACAGTTCTTTGTTCAACGAGTGACATCACAGGATCCCATTTTTCCACCAAAATTCATTACAGATCTAAGCGTGTGATGCATATCATACCTGTGCATCGGGATCGGTGAGCATAAGGCTCTTGAGCACGGCAGGAAAATCCGAATCTAAGCAGGTAGCAGCCGATATGTGATATAGCTTGAGGACCCCGACAGCGGCAACCATCCGGACATAGGAGCTGCCGTCCTTGAGCCCAGCGCCAAGAGGGGCGACGAGGTATTCCACGAGGTTGGGGACGCGGAGGGAGCAAAGGCTGCGAAGGGCCAGGCCACGGATCATGGGGTCCTCATCGTGGCAGTCCTTCTGGAGGAAGTTGATGGTGAGAAGGGCGAGATCAGGGTGGCACCGGGCGTAGTTGCCGACGTAAAGGTAGCACATCTTTTTGAGGACGATGTCGGAGGTAGCAGAGCACATGACCATCTCACTGAAGGCGGCCGAAACGTCAATCCCCACCGTCATGTACGAGATCACGCGCTTGAAGAGGTCGCGCTTAGAGTCGTCAGCGCCCGGGGCGCGGCTGCCGGCGAGCTGCCGCAGCTGCAGCTTGAGGTCGGATACCTCGCTCTTCCTGGATCGGAGAGATCGCGATTATCCAGAGCTAGGATTAGGGTTTGGCGTGGTCACGCCGTTGCGGGGCCGTAGAGAGAGAGAGAGAGAGGACTTACCCGGAAGGCTGGGACGGCGAGGGGGACTTCTGCGGTGGAGCGGGGGGAGGAGCCATGAGCGGATCTTCAAAGGCGGACGACCGAAGACGAGACTGCGACCGGGCTTTCGATCCAAGGAGGAAGAAGACGACTCCCTACTCCCTCCTCTCTCAGGGTGAAATCGAGAGGACAGACGAGGCATATGTTATCGATGCAAACGTGGGCAGCCTATGTCCTCTTTACAGGAAAAATTACTCGATTGATGATTGGGCAGAGCGGTGGAGCCCATGTGTGGCCGTAACTTTTATGCAGGTGGACACCGGGGGCCAGAAGAAAATGGTTGCTCTTTAGATTATGCTCGCTAGCGGGAGGAGTTTTATGTGACGGCAAATGCTGGTCACGCAGTTAATATTTTCTGCCTAATTTTTTAGAAGTTTTGGATCTAATTTATTTTGAATTTGGGTTGATATTGAGATGAAGGCATATTTGATGCAGTAGTAAAAAGATATATGTTAGTTTAGATTATATATCAATTTTGTTTCAATTTTATTACATAATATAAACAAAAATATTATGAATTATAATCTCATAAATAATTAAATGATCAAATACCCCTTCAAATAATGAATTTATCCTTCCAACAACTTAATAAACAAATAATTACATGAAATTATAAAAAAACAAAACAAAACAAAACAAATAAAAATAGATGGTTTTGGTTCCACTTGCAACTGATTCAGTTTTGATTCTAAATTTTAGATTTTGGAAAATCCTGATGAGGCTACGTCATACATTAAGTCAAGATGAAAAATATGGATTGTATTTTACTTGTTGCTATTCAATCATTAAACGAAAGCGACAATGAATTGGACTTTTTTATTTTTATATTTGCTTGACGCACTTAAATTGGATTCCATTTGTGATGCCTTAGCTAAATGGCACACTTCAAATGAGAGAAAAATTATATGAGTTTAGAAGGTTAGATGAGCATATTGCTTAATTTGAACTCAAGCACTTATTCTAGTGTGGTAAAATTAATATGCCAATTCTTCCAGTGAATGAAAACATATGACAATTGGTTTTAGAAAAAATTTGATTAATAATCAAGAAAGTGGTCTCACATATTATGTAATATATATGATTTTATTATAAGAAGATATCATTCACATCCTAGTTAGCTTGATACAGTTCTAACTCAAAGTAAAAATGTGAAACTCCTAATGTGTCACGTGTACATAGATCGAGGTCGAAAGAGATTTTTTAATTCGATCATTTCAATGCCTAAGTTAGTTTTCCGACAATGATAAAAAATGATCCTTCTCCATAATTATACTAAAAGTGAGCTTTTATATATAATTATAAAAAGATAAAATATTTTATGAAATATTATGTGGGGAGATAAGTCTTAACCCCCTTTAACAATTTTCACTTGCTTTTAATAATATGAGTAGATACAACTGTATAACTTAGACCCTTATCCACATGGACAAACTAGTGGAGGATAGCATCTATCTCTTTCTTCCAACTCAAACGTAATTTGAAAGTCACATATCGACAAATGATTGATAAACAATATTCTCCCCATCAGATTTTAAGTTATGAACCAAATATTAGACTTTAATAAAGATAAAAAAATTTATAATATTATATTAAACTTGATGTTTTTATTTAATTAATTTAGATAAAATAGCTCGTCCTAGTGATTATGTTTTAGGTCATGCTAGTAAAAATATGAATATTGATTATCTTAATATCTAGCCTTGTTAATATATCATTCTTTCAAAATAATAAATTATATTAATTAATTTTAAGACAATTTATTAGGAAAAAATCATTTATTTTGAGAAAATTTTAATTAACATCCTTTTTAAAATATAAAAAATATTATCTTTTAGAAAAAGGGATGCTTTGCAAGAATTTTTGAAAACCAGAACACTAACTAAAAATTTATCAAAGTTACATGGTTTTTTTCGAAACTTGCTCTTAATTTTAATTTGTTTGATATATAGTGTATTGAAATCATTCCTAGTTGATCCAAATATTTCCTATGGAACCCTATCGGTTCAATCAAACACCTTATAGATTTCCTATGTAACGTATCAAGATTTACAAAATTTTGAATGTCCCACTGAAATTTTTACACCAAATTCAAGAGAGAGAGAGAGAGAGAGAGAGAGAGAGAGAGAGAGAGAATTTTATTTTGTGTTAGGCATTGAATCTTTATTTGAGACAGCGTTTGAGATTCCAACAAGTCAATAGAGGAGGGCGATGGCACAGTTTTCTGCGTCCATTCCGACCAAGTTTTGAAATAACGAAATTAACCTTATAAATTTATTGGAAAATGTATATGCCTTCAATTATTAAACATATAAGAACCCAAATGGACAATCAGTTACTTGAATTTTAATATTTTTGATAAGATCGCAATAAAGATTAAATATAAGAAAGATTTTATTTTTATCAATATAAGTTAAAGTAAAATTTAAGAAAACTCATATTTAAAATATTAATTTGATGATAATGTACTAGATTCATAATTTTATTTGATATTTTATACTTTAAATATTAATTTAATGATAATATATCAAATTCATTTATATTATATAAATATGTTATTAATATCCTAATAAACCCGACGTGGTTTTAACCTAACTTGTTAAAAAATAATAAGCTCACAAGGTGTCATTTATATAAAGACTAATATCAAAAGAGATTTTTTGACCTAATTTTTTTGATGTCTTAATTAAATTGAGTATAATGATGAGGAATAAATATTGATCATCTTTAGTAATTATATTAAAAATATATTATTATATTTTATTATAAAAATATAATATTATGTGAAATATTTTAGACACTCAACAATTGTTTGTCTTGTCCACATGAAAAGATCTATGGGAGCAAATCACATTATATCAAAAATAATTTAATTTATTTTTACATGTAAATAATCATACATCATATCTATTTATTAAATAGTAAATATTTAAAATTTCATTTAATATATTTTAAAAATATTATCTAGCTTAGTTATTATGCGAGCCGCATCGATGTCTCATATCGAACGGTCAGGAAACTCCAACGCCAGCCATACTGTGATACTGAACTCCGCCCACGGGTTTCGATTCCTACAGTCAACGTCCGCCGCCTGTCTCCCTTCCCCTTCCTATTTACCGCGGCTGGGGGTTCGTCCTCCTCGGAATATTCTTGATCGATGGCGACGCCGGAGACCTCGAGGGAGCCGTGCCCGGACCGGATCCTCGACGACGTCGGCGGCGCCTTCGGCATGGGGGCCGTCGGTGGCTCCGCCTTCCACTTCATCAAGGGCCTCTACAACTCTCCCAAAGGCGAGCGTCTTGCTGGTGGCGCCCAGGCCGTCCGCATGAACGCCCCCCGTGTCGGCGGAAGCTTCGCCGTCTGGGGCGGTCTCTTCTCTGTCTTCGACTGCTCCATGGTCTATGTCCGCCAGAAGGAGGACCCATGGAACTCGATCTTCGCCGGGGCCGCCACCGGCGGCTTCCTCCAGATGCGCCAGGGCGCCCGCCCCGCCGCCAGATCCGCCCTCTTCGGGGGCGTCCTCCTCGCCCTCATCGAGGGCGCCGGGATCATGCTGAACCGGGTCCTCAGCGCCCCGCAGGACATGCCGATGTTGATGGAGGATCCCGCTGCGGTGGTTCCGCCTACCGTGGCGGTGGCTGCAGGGGCCGGAGTGGTCGGCGGCGCCGCCACGGGGATCCCTGCAACACATGGTGCGGCGGTGGAGGATCCTGGAGTCTCTTCATCTTCTTCCTGGTTCGGAGGAATTTTTGGAAAGAAGAGGCAGGATTCAGCGGCTGGAGGCGAAGGCCGCAAGACAGAGATCTTAGAGAGTTTCGATTCACCACCAATCCCTAGTTTTGAGTATAAGTGAGTTTAGGTGAGCTTCTGAAGTTTTACAATACAATCAGTGTTTCCATATCCTATCAACTCGATTGATTGTTTTATCGTAATGCATGGTTTGATTTGATATCCTGACAGGATGATTGTTTAATCACATATGAGTATCACTGGTTAGTGGCTTTTAATTGCTTGTCAAACTGATGGAGAAGATGCATTTTCATGAATGGATTGGGAACTAAGACAAACATGTTGCTTGAATTATAACAAGTGATCTAAGAACAAGTTTTTGTGTTTCTCCCTTCCTCATCTTTGATACCATATGATAGTTGCATTGGTCTAATCTTGATGCCATGATAGGATGATTGTTTAATATTTGAGTAACACTTGTTTGCTTGTGCCTTAGTTGCGTTTTCAATTACTTATTAGACAATTTTGGAGAAGATGCATATCATTTTTTTCATTGTTTTGGCAAAAGGTAAGTGGTGAAGGTGGGTTTTGAATCCGGGACCTTGCGGGGATTGACAAAGCCAAACGAACTAGCACCTTCAGAAGCTGGATATCATGAATCGCTTGGAAACTAAGACAAACATGTTGCTTGAGTTATATCAAGTGATCCAAGAACAACTTCTGTCTTTGAAACTTGTCATTTCTTCCTTTTTCATGTTTAATGCTATACAACAGTGGCATTGGTCTAAATTAGACTTTAAAATATCTTGACAGCATGATTGATTTGTTTGGATCTAAGTTAGAGTTTTTGATTACTTAGCAGATGGTTGTTGTAGAATATGCATTATGAATGGCTTGAAAACTAATACAAACATGTTGCTTGAGTTATATCGTGTGATCTGAGAACAACTTTTTGTCTTTGGAACTTGTTATTCTCCCTTTCTCATGTTTGATGCTATATGACAGTTGTATTGGTTCAAATTTAGATATCTTGACAGGATTATTGTTTAATAACATATGAATACCACTTCTTTCTTTTAATGGAAGATGCACCTTTTAACTACATATCAGACAGTGTTGGAGAAGATGCATATAATGACTTGGAAACTAAGACGAACATGTTTTTTGAGTTGTATCAAGTGATCTAAGAACAATGTTTTTTGTCTTTGAAACTTGTTGTTCTCCCTTTCTCATGTTTGGTGCTATATTGCAGTTGCATTGGTCTAATGTTGATATCTTGACAGGACAATCGTTTAATCACATGTGGATAAGACTTCATTGTTTGGGTCTTAATGGGGCTTTAATTACTTGTTGGACAATGTTGGAGAAGATGCATGTCATGAATGCCATAGAAACTAAGACAAACATGTTGCTTGAGTTACATCAAGTGATCTAAGAACTTCTCTGAAATTTGTCACTCTTCCGTTCTCATGATCATGACAGTTGCATCGGTCTGATTTTGACATCTTGATAGGATGATTGTTTAATCTTCATATGAATTACAGTTGTTTGCTTAGATCTAAGTTAGGCTTATATTTACTCGTCAGAAAAATGTTGGAGAAGATTCATGTGATGCATGGCTTGGAAACTAAGACAAACATGTTACTTGAGTTACATCAAGTGATCCAAGAACAACCTTTTGACTTTGAAACTGGTTAATCTTCCTTTCTCATGTTAATTTTGATATCTTGACCGAACGGTTGTTTAATCACATATGAAAAAACTCTTGTTTGTTTGGGTCTAAGTTAAGCTTTTAATTAATTGTCGATCTATGTTGGAGGAGATGCATATTATGAATGTATTGAGAACAAAGTGAAACATGTTATTCAAGTTATATCAAGTGATCTAAGAACTCTGTTGGCTATATCCCAGAATAGAAATCTGTTGTCTGGAACAAAACATATAATACCGGTATCATGATGATTAACGGAGCTTGCTATTGGAAAACAAAGTGGACGGGAATGAAATCCAGCAGAAATGGCTGTAGATTTGTCCATGAAATAGGAGTTACGCAATAGACTCGAAGATCTGATTGTGTAAATTGACTGAATAAATCTGTCAAATTTACTGTGATGAAATTACGATTCAAGATTGAAGTCGTGACAAGGGAAGGTTTACGTGGACTTCGTAGATTAACAGTTATGGGTGCAGGGAAAGAAGAGACATAAGAACTTAGAAGCAAACCAAATGTTAAATCTAGCGAATTTATTTGTAGGGTAATTGATATGCTGTCAACAATTTACACAGTGTTGTTGCTCATCATCACCATTAAAGGCTCACTTTTCTCTCCCATTCTTCTTCGTTGATGGGATTAAACAGTTAATTTAGCATCGGAGTAGTTTTGTTGGACGTAATCAAAATATAGTCTTTCACTATGTTATGTATTAAAGGTGCACTTTTCTCCATCATGTTGAGTTAATAATAATCACAATCAAAATTGATATTAACAACAATACATAATACATAAAAGAATAATATAATAATGTGGGAAGTTAGTTGATTGATAAAATATCAAAATATTTCATCCAAATCAGATTCGAAATTAATATTCATTCCAAATAGGCTGCAATAACATGAATTATAAATATAGTCTTTCACCATCCGATTCATATCGGATACAAGTGACCTAAAAACAACACTTTTTTAGCGTTGACTTCCATTTTCTTAATCACATTAACCAAACGGAACACACAAAAGATGGAAGCTTGCTTAATCATCTCCGCCGCCGCCGCCGCCGCCGAAGAGGTCGGAGAGGGTGGGCAGCTTGATCTCGCCCTTGGTAGAGAGCGGGATGGTGAAGTCGCCGATGATAGGGAGGTCGATGGTCAACCCCACCTGCATCTCATAGTCGATGTCCCAGTCGCGGCCGATGTCTCTCATCAAGCTTATCAGGAAGTCGTAGGGGACCTTCACCGAGACCTCCAGCTTCGTCTCCGCGCTCGCCGTCAGCGACCCCGGGTCCGGCATCGTCCCCGACGCCACCTCCCTACAAAGATCCAGCATCATCGTGAAGAAGAAACGCCAAAAGTTGGAGGAAGAAAGAGTAGGAAAGGAAGGAAGAGACGGCAACCTGCCGGCGCTCTTGAGGGCGTAGGAGAGCTGGCAGATGGGGATGGAGTGGGAGTAGGGGTTGAGGACGGCGACTTCGCTGTGGAACAGGATGGAGTCGCGGGTGAAGCTCTTTATGGACAAGCTCTCGAGGGAGGCCTCCGGCTTCGGCATCTTCGCTATCTTCTCCGCCACGAACTCCTTCGCCTTGTTTATCAAACTCGACATCGCTCCTCGCAAGGATTTAGACACACACCGAAGCAGAAGCCTATGAAGACGAGGCGTGGTCAGCCTTCTTTGGCTCGTCTACATATATATAGAAGGAAGGAGAGAGAGAGAGAGAGTGCGTGCGGGCAAATCCGGATCGCGGGGTGCGCCGCCTGAGGAGGACGCCAACCACGATGGGAACGTCGAGAGATCCCATGCAAAAGGGGTCGGTGCCGGACGCGACGGGGTGGAATCTTCATATTAACTCATTCGAATAATGTCAATAAATATATTCTTTTATCTAAATCGTATGGTATCCTTACGATATATCTATTAATTTAATATATTCATAATTTTGATAAAAATTATATTTAATAAATAATTAATGATGAATGAACGAACACAATGATAATCTCTTGAACAACGCTTTATTGACAATGTAAAATCGAATGATCAATAATGATATTAGTGTCATGGATTTAGAAAATATTTTTTTTCAAATAATTAATATTTATTATTAATTGTTGAGAAAAATAATTTATATGTATTTCTCGATAAATAAATAGAATTTCGAAAGAAAATATTTAATGTTTATGAACGGAGTAGAATGAACTTAATATAATATTCATTTTTAGAAAGAAAAATAAATTTGGATGAATGATTGATATTTAATATTTTTAGGAAATAATTAATATTTAGTTTTTAGAAAGAAATAAATCAGACGAACAGATTTAATTTTACAAAGAAAAAAATTAATAGTATTTTCCAAATCAGAAGAGAAAAGAAAGGATAGAATGAATGGCGTTGGATGGCGGATTCGTGATTAGGTGATCTACGTGTCAATTGTTATTTCGTTGAGATCCACAATGTTTTGGAGGAAAAATGAGAGTTTATGGGAAGAATGTTGGAAAATAAGATGATTACGCTCTGAAAAATAAATAGGATATACACAAACCAATCGAGCATATGCTTTAGCTTCCAATGGAATCGGAGGAACATGTAAATGGATTCCCTTAATCTATACTAACTTGCTTTTTGCAATATGTCTTTTTATATGGAGTGGGAGACAACAAATAATCTAAAGTATAAAAAAAATGTTTTGTTAATAAAGATCTAAGGTGCAAAGAATTGATGTAAAGCACATGATATGTGGCATAAGATGAAAGTTATATTCGTTGGAAGGTAAAAGGGCTCGTCATCATCATCTCGCATTTGTTTATGAATCGACTTAGCTATGTTTAGCTATCGTATGGCTGTCAATTTAGGGATTTCCCTTTAGTGACGGGTCTTATCTTCATTGTTGTTAAGAGAATTTTTATGTACAATATGAAAGTGGAAGGAGGATCAAAAGAATAGTTTCATATTGTTAATGATCGAAAGAATCAAATGGCATATATTGAGTTTAATATATAAATTTAATAAACTTATTTTTTATATTTAAATTATTGAATTGTTCTACGTAATTATGTTAATTTTAAATAGTTTGATTGATATAGTTGAGTTTTTATAATTTGATTATCGATTGATCTATCAACATACCTTATATTAAACGACTATAGCATAATCCTAAAAGATTTTAATAAGTGTTAGGAGAAAATCTCGTTGACGTCTGAATCAGTCCGACGTGGTTCAGACTCATATACGTATGAATGTCCGAGACATCTTTGAGGTAAAAATACAATGCTCCCATGGTGAAAATTCTATGATCTCGAGATAAAAATATCATGTTTATGAGGTATCACATGCATGAAGACGAGATCGAAATAGGTTTCTCAACTTGATTCCTCCAATGTATACGTCAGTAATCCAAGATTCTAAAATGTGAGGAGTAGTTTCAAATAGGAGAGAGCTAGAGTCTGCTTGAAATATATCTTTATATCTTAAAGATAAGAATAAAATTTGTGATTATATTTGTTGTCATAGAAGAAGAAAAATGAGTTTTCTTGCTTGTTAAAGATAATAATAAAATTTATCAAGTAACGGATGACTTAGATCACATATGACGATCCTGTATCAGTTGACGATAGATTTCTTATAAAAAATAATTTATCTATAAATTTCTTCTTGCACTATTTCCTATCATATGTCATTGGAATCATTTTGGCAAATGCAATTGTCTTAATCATATCATGCATATTTGCAGCTTTATATCTCACCTCCAAGTTTAAAGAGACAAATCTACCCACGCAACATCTAGAAACTTTGAGATCCAAATCATTCTTCCATCAACAATTAATATTTATCTACGCCCCCACCACATAATGCAGTGTTTCATGTATTTCCATTATTTCCATCATTCATTCTTATCACATTTGTTCTCCGCACTGTTTGACTCCTCACAAAATGATCCTTTGCCACCGACATACACACACACAAATTTATTTTTTAAAATATTAATTTGAATTTTTATATAAATATATTTTACTTTTATTCTAAATAAATAATTGATAAAATATTTCTCATGTTAAATATGATCGATGTGCCATTATTTGATTCATTGGTCGATGTTTATTCCAATTATCGTTGTCATCACCATAGGCCACGACGAACTCGATGACATCTTCTCTTATGTGGCCCCGTGTTGACTGATAGGTGATTGAATCATGTGGATGTGATGGAACTCAAAATCAAGTGGCAGTATTTATCTCTGTGCTCGAACTCGTCCGGAGTCCGATTTCTCAAGGCACATGTGAAGATGAGGTAAGCGCTTCTGTCATCCATCGCACCGGTGAAACCACTACGGTCGGTGTCGCTCTTCCCCACACGTCCATGTTCATCAACTGAGTCATTTCCACCACCCGTTGGTATAAAAGTGGCCTCATACAATTCGAAGATGTCGCTTCGGACCAGAGAGAGAGAGAGCGAGAGGGAGAGAGAGAGAGAGGACA